TAATAAATGCACAAATCAGCACATAAGAAAGCTAGAAGCCACCTCAAATTCTATATTATTGAAATTATATTTTTGGGGGAATTCACGGTTTATCAATACACATAAGAAAGAGGCATGGATGATTCATTTAATTATTGCAAACAGAGTAAGAGAGCTCAGAGTGAAGATTTTGCCCAATATTTATCACTGTACAAAAAAACTTTCTGTTTTTAAAGACTTGGATGTAAACTACACTTTTTGTCCAGCTGAGCCAGAGAGTGTAATAATTTAATTAATTTATTTTTTTGACTGTCTTCCTTCTTCTGTGTTTCCAGCAACATGGAGGAATTCCTCAAGGTCAACTATAAACTAACTTTTAAATTTAAACCCACGATGTATGAACTAAGCCATAAGTTTGAGTCTAAAGATCAGACCTATGGGTCTATGATAAAAGTATTGCTCATGTTAGGCAGATTTCTCATACATAAGGCAACATTTTCTGGGTCCCTCCAAAACTTTGAGATGCTGTTATTGGACTTTTAACCAAACAGTCAAATAACAGCATATCATAAAAAGGCTGCCTTATTTCTGTAGATTTTGTATTTGTTTGTAACAGATGTGAAGTCTTTGAAAAAAATCTCTCTCTCTCTCTCTCTCTCTCTCTCTCTCTCTCTCTCTCCATCTCTCTCTCTCTCTCTCTCTCTCTCCATCTCTCTCTCTCTCTCTATATATATATATATATATATATATATATATATATATATATATATATGCATGCTATATTTTGCAAATCACTGTAAAAATACAACAAAATATTCAAGAAGACACCCTCTTAATTTAAATACTCAATTTCTTATAGTTTCTCTTCTGGAAACGTGTAATTACGTAGGTGGTAATTCTAATATAAAACTATTTGAATATTGATCTACTTGATCTGAATGGTTATAATGCAGGTTTATATGTGGTCCATGAAATCATCCTGCTTGGTCTACTTTATTAAAAACAAAAAATTGTTGGAATAACACTTTCAAAATAAAGTAACAATCTAATAAGCAAAGCAAAGTAAATATTTACAGTAATGTCGAGCCAGGAAATAATGTAATGTTTTAAGAATTTCTTTTTCTAATCAATGGATAATATATGTAACAAAGAAATGTAATTAAATAAATCTCACATTACAGAATTCTTTTTTGATATTGTGCCGAGCAGAATGAAAAAGGTTTTTAACAATTCAAATAATTGTAGGGATTACATCAAATTTATCTAAAGGTCTGAATATAACAATCTCCTACCCTGAATGTTGTGGTCCAGAAGAAATGTGGCTGACACAATCCTAAAACCTTTATCTGCAAAGCAATGATTGCATATTTCTTTCACAGTACCCCCTGCTAACATGAGAGGAAAATTTAGATCCACCTTTTTATAAGTTAAAAGTCCTCTACTTTAACCAAGGGATTTTATTTTGTGCCTTTAACAGCCTCAACCATGCTACTGAAATTATGTTAGCTGGTAATATTGCACATAAATGCAGTTAAAAAAAATTTTGTAAGTAAACTTTTAAATGTAATAAAGGTCTTTTATGTTTATTGATCTACATCCACAGTAATCACTTTCAATGAGAATCATAATTCAGGTGAACCAACATCTCATCAACTGTAGTCAAATATTTGTGTAACAGTAAAGTGCCCCACCATTATAGCACAGGGTTGATGTAAGCGGAATAAAAGCTGTAGGGAAGGATGGAAGCAGATGATCCAGGGAACACAACTGAAAGGATGCATCTTTGTTTACCTACATATTTATTTTCTCTACACTGTATTTCTTAATGGTTCACAACTACCAAAAAGGGCCAGTCAACTCAATTTGTTTAGACAGGAGTAAGCCAGAGAGCTTCAGTATGCCCAGGGACAGGGGCGTACACAGATAGACACTAGGGGGTGCTAGAGCACCTGCCCTTTTCCCCTCTGGACAGAAACGTGCCCTTCTTAAATCAATTTTGTTTTTTCAGTCTTTGGTTCTAACTACCATTTGTGAATTTAAAAGCCTATCAAACCAAGGCTCTAGAATTTTGTATTTTTTCTCCACAAGACATCTAGCACTACCTCAATAGAGCCTTGCCCTGATGAAGGGCCAGCAAACAGTCCAGGCAGCTAAACAAGTGTATTTACCTCCTTCACCAACCAAAGCTAAAAAGTTACCTTTTGTCCATTAAACATTTCATTTCATTTAAAAGCAAACATAAGGTCAAACATAAGGTCAAATGATCACAATTCGTAAAAATAACTTCAATAAAGTTCTATTCAGTTAACATGGGACATGTAGATTAAGTTACATTTTGAATTCTTCTGTTTATTGACAGAAACATTGGATTGCAAAGAGAATGACAAAATATGTAGAATTTTCTGAAAAATAACTGCATTCACCCCTAAGCTGAGAAGAAAATATGATGATCTGACATTGGAATAAGATTTTCTTTTGGTTTTTACCTTAAACTAGGATTATTTCTTATTCTGCATTTGAAATAAGATAGAGTTGTTGTTTTTTTTCATAATTTTTCAAATCTTAGTTCTTCTGCATATTGGTATATATACACACTGAAATCATGAGAAAATAGACTTAAAGGATATTCTGGAATCCCGGGCTTTGCATTAAACTTCTCCTCTACTACTATGTACGATGGAAAACTGCATGAGGTACTTTAAACAAATGACATATTTATGGAAGGCATTTATGAGTGCAAGTAATTGTTGATCATATAAACTCAACCCAGAGACGGAGACATTGTCAGACATTTTATTACGTCTCCAGAAGAAGAAAAACTTGAAGAAATAGGATCATCACACATTTAAAGACTTATGATAGTAGTTACTTATAAACTAGAGGCAATTGTGTTTTACAGCGTAACCTGATAACTCAGAGCTGTAAGTTCATGTCAATCATGTTTCTTTCTATCTTTTTTGTGCTCTAGCTTTAAATTGTATTTTTTTACATAAATAAATAAAAAAAAAGCTTCATGTACTGTTTTGTTTTTTTAGATGTGTCTATGTATTAGTGGATTTTAAATAGTTATTTATTTAATTGACACCAATGAGGCATTTCTACCTATTTTTAGTTTATCTTCTACCAGAAGATCACTAAACATCAGCATCAGACAGTGTTTGCTGTTGGCGGCTCCATACGATGTATTAAATTGGCCTTTTTCCAACCTGAGCATCTCCCCCCAAAAATGTCTCTGCATGCCACTGCCCGGGGAGAACATGCAAACTCTAGTAGTAGTCCCAATCGTCATTGTTTACAGAACCTTATAAATCTTTTGGACATCTTTTCAGAGCAATTTGGGCTTAAACTTGACTATGATAAATGTAAAATATTAGGGATTGGAAGTTGAAAGAAAACATCCTTTCAAATGAAATGTAAAGTGCCTGTTGTGTGGACAGATGGACCAGTTAACATATTTGGCTTGGTGATCCCAGAGAATCTGGAAGACCTACGTTCAGTAAATCATGATAATCGACAAAGAGAGCTGGATAAAATTCTGTAATTATGGAAAGGGAAATATTTAACCTTGTATCGTAAAATATCTATTGTTAATTCTTAAATCACTTCTCAATTTGCTCATTTATTTCTGTCTTTACCATATCCATCACATTTTTTCTTTAAGTTTCATGAACAGAAAACCTTAGATTTTATCTGGGATGGCAAGCCAGAAAAGACAAAAAGAAAAGTTTTGTACAATGACTATAAACATAGGGGTTTGAAACTCCTCAATCTAGAGATATGTGTTTGTCTTTGAAATAAATTGTTCCAAACATGCACACAAACGCTATGTTTGAAAGAGGAGTTATCTTTGTTAATGACATTATTAATGAGAACAGTAAAATTATGGAGCATGAGGATTTTAGAAATATATATTGTGATGCTTGTTCAAACTTTTCTTTTAACCAACTCAAAAAATAGGAAGAAAATAATTACCAATGGAACTACTAAACTATATGTTTGTAAGCCTCCAATAAGAAAATCTAATTGGCAAAAGGGAATTAAAATAAATGGAAAATGGAAGGACTATGTCTGCCTGCTGCCATGGGATAAAATATTCAAATGAATCTATAAAACTACTGTTGATGTGCAAAATCGTTATTTTCAAAAATAAAATCCTACACAATTTCTTACTCACTGGAAAAATGTTAAACCTATGGAATATGACAGTCAGATGATTTAATCCACCCTGCATTAGTTTTGGTTTTGTCATATTGTGTCTCTATTTTGGGTGGAATTTGAAAAAATGTGTTTAAGGATTGGTCTGTCTAAGAATTCTGATGTGGTTCCTGTTTTACTGGGAGAGTTTATAAACAGTCACTTAGTTAATGTAATCATTGTACTCCGTAAAAGGTTTATCTTTAAAGCCAAAAATAGATTTTTACTTAATATTAATTTCTTTAAAACATTTATTTAGCATTATTTACCTTTAGAAAGTTATATGGTTGAAACTGATGATGAAGCCAGAAAATATAAAAACCTCTGAGAAGTTCTTAAATGGACGAATGAATGTGTGAATATATGTGAATGAGTGTGAGGGGGTGAGGGTGAGGGGAGGGAGGCTTTGGGGTTAGTATATTATCTCTGTAAATGTATCCTGCATTGTCATTTATGTTGATTTAATAAAAAAAGGAAAAGAAACTCTAGTAGTAAACTACATCGAAAAAGCAATAATCATAACATTATTATGAGTTTCTTTGCTTCAATTATAAACAATATACTCTGGGCGGGTGTATAAACAGCAACAACATTAAAAGGCAAATACTTTGTCTGGAATAAAATAAATTGTCCTTCATGGAATTCTAAAGTATTTATTTACCACATTTTTGTGTCAAACCCCATTTTTATCATTGTATTAAAATATGACGATACGTCGTTTATGGACTCTCCTGACATATTCTTGTCTTGAACACGTTTAGTATTTTATTTTGAAAGTCTTATTCGGATGTGACATCCAAACCAAAATGAACAGAGCTTTTAGAGCTCTGCTGTTGCTCAGTCAGTTGGAAGAAACTTGGTGGAAACGGAGCTCCGTCTGGACCCGGCGGCTTGTTCAGCTCCTCTTCCCTGACAAAGAGAGCGAGATGCGGCGGAAAGAGAAGAGGCTGCTGCAGGTCACCGGCCTGCTGATCGCCGCGGCTCTTTTCTTTCCAAACGTCGGCTTGTGGTCTTTATACCGGGACAGACTGCTGGACAGCGGCTCGGCGGGCTCCGCAGACGGACCGAGTCGGATCTCAGAGCTGCTTCCGGTAGGCAGTGATTTTCTGTTCAAATAATCAGGATGATATTCGGACCTGCAGCATCTCCATGTGTGCGACTATCAGCAAAGAGAAATCAGACCTGAAATCTTTGTTTCATCAGATTTTCACTTGGAAATTCCGCTAAAAAAATGGCGTTGGAAAGTTCTCAGCGCAGCTTCAGCACCAAGGACAGCGCAACGACTGAACCAAGCTTCAGGGAGGATTTGATTATAAATGTTAATATTTGACTATAAATGCTAATGCTTCAGATTAATCTGTTTACCTCTTTCCTTACATTTCAAAACAAACTGCTTTTATAAGAGTTAAAACAAAAAGATAGTGACGTTAAAAAATAAGGAATTACAGAAAATAGATAAGAACAATAAACTATACAAATAATATTGATCAAATGAGCAAGCAATGTAAAACGACATGAATAGAAAGATTCAAAACCATATAGATAAGTCCAGTTAAAAAAAAAACTCTAAGAATGACCTTTCATGACATTCTTAAACATTGATAAACTTTAAACAAAACCATTAAATACATAAAAATATAAAGTGCAATGAAAGTAAACAAAATATATAGATTATAAAATTAAAGATGACCTAGGCCTAGAGTCAAGTAAAATCTGTTTTTAAAAAATGAGACAGCCACTATATTTCAAGTATCAGTCTAAGAAGATATATTTGCTTTTGAAATCATCCAAACTCTCCAACAGTGAAGGTTGTAAAAAATTAATAATGCTTCTTTTCTCAGAGGAGCTGAGGGTGGAGCACTAGTTAAGTAAAAGCAAATCTATTAAAAAGGGTAGACTAAAACTATTAATATTTCAACATTCAATAAATTAGTTTTTAAATGATTCTAAAACAAATAGTTTGCCAGTGGATGTACAGAATATATTGTCAATGAATGTCAGTAGGTCCAGGAGCATAAATAACATTATAGACCTTACTCAGAAGTTAGATGGATTCTCTTCTTGGGCAAAACTCACTGTTAGAAATGCACTGAAGTACTAAAAAAAACACCAAAAAAAAAACCCCACTCATAGATTACAGCAATTACATCAATTCAGTTTCCATCACTGTACATGCAATAAATACATATACAGGCATTTATTTGATTGAAAATTACTAAACAGGAGCAAATTATTCTTGAGGATTTCAGTCAATATTTTGAGTAAAATGTAATATTCCAAACACGTCTTAATCGCTTTCTTTTCTTTCATTTTATTTAAAGTTAGAGACAAAGACTGATGACGGTGCTTGTGGTTGTGGTAGAGAGATAAAGCAGAAAAATTGCTGTCACTCTGCTTGAATTATGTTAGGGAAATGTGTTTTCAATCAGGGAAAACAAGACTTCCCATATCTGGTTTCAGTTTATCCGATTTTGGTTTCTTTTCACCATAGCAAGAAAATCACAAAGCAAATTAGAAGACAAATGAAAGGACAATAAGTGTATACATGTTAACGCACTCCTCCTGGACTCCCATTGCTTCACTGAAGTAGATAAAAATCAATACCCTAATCCCATTTGGGTTTTCCCACATAGATCTTGTTAAAGACATTCGGAGCTGGCATTCTCTTCCTCCCTTGTTGCCTCTGTAACTGATTTGAATAAAACACAAACAGGATGAGCTCATTTGCACGCTCACTGATGTGTTTGATAAAGCAGAATTAGAATAAGAGTCTCAGATGAATTTACACACAAAAATGCTTGAAAGGGTCAGAAAAGCTAACTACAGTTTGACACAGAAATATTTGATTTGGGTGAAATACAGCTGCACATCTCAACAAAATGCCTTAAAAATGCGTATTCCATTCATAAGATCTCAATTGATCCCACTAACAAACATTAATCCCTTTTCTTGTGTTTTTTACTTCAGTAAAAAAAAACCTCTAGATTTGTTGAGTATTATGGTCTGTAGTCACTGCTGCCACCATCTGGTTTAGTGGGAACTGCTTGTTCAGTCAAATATCCTGATCGCACAGAGTTAGACGATCCTTCTACAAATTCCTGAATCCAGATTATGATCTGGATTATCACCAAAATGTAATGGATTGTTTCTTAGCATGAGGGACACCTCCGATAAAAATGAAATTTGAATCTGTCCATCAACCCCTCAAGTTATCCAGTACACAGACAGACAAACACACAAACTCTCTAAAAACATAACCTCCTTGGCGGAGGTAACTATTAAGTATGGCACATCATCACATAGTGCTGTGGACATGTCTGATAATTAAAGAAATGTTTTGGTCTTGATATGTTTATTGAGAATAGCCAGCAACTCTTTCAGTCCAGTGGTTATAGGTGGCATTAATACGCTTAAAGATGGTTTGCCCCACATAGATGGGAACAGGATGAATGCCGGATAGTCCTACCATAATGGAATCAGGACGAGAGAGGATTTAAGCCTGTGAAAAACTTTAGAGCCAAACATGTATAGGTGTGTAATTAGAACAAAGAACAACAGAAATAAAATCACGTTTTTGTTAAGGAAAAAAATGTCCTGCCTTTGGTGCTGCTAAGAAATGGTGAAATCTTTCCAGCTTTAATTTTCAACAGCTAGGGACTGAATTCAGACTGTTTCAGGCTTGTTTTGGAATCAGTGTTGATCGACGTTAATCTGAATCACGTTCAGTTCAAATATGGTTTATTAATAAGTCATGGAGAGGAAACTTACTGCAGGTCCAGGTCCCCTTTATTTTTACAATCCATGCCAGAAGTGCACTGATCTTTTTTCATTAGATAAAGTTTTCATTCACATTCGACCTTGAGGCTTTATTAAATAAAAGACCCCTGATTGCTGTTTGCAGAGATGTTTGAACATTGTTCTTTGTTTACTTGATCCTCTATATTTTAGCTAACAAAATTCTGTCAAACCAGCATCAAATGGGAAACCAGCATCAGTGGATTCAACATCTAAACCTAACCCCTCTGAGCACTAACCCTAATCCTGACTTTGGTGGATGACAAACATAACCCTAAAGTTACTCGATTTAATATCACTCCTTAGCTTAATTCCGGTGTGTGCTTCCATTATAGAGGACAAAACTTCCGTATTTGTCAAATTGTGGGATAGTTTCCAGTCAGTTAGCATAACTGACATCTGGATTAGTCTATTTTTTTTGTGGCAGGTTTTAGCTGTTCTTTTCTTCCTTGATTTTTATCCCTTTTTGTTTTGTGGATTGAATGATCAATCAAGTTAGCATTCTGTGTGCTAGGGTGGCGCTCATTGAGGAATTCATGCATGGCCAATTGGAACCAGACAGTCATAAACCGGAAAGACCAGACAGCAAAAATAAGGAAAAGCTGATACTGTGTATGTGTCTGAATTCACCAAACTGTATGATTGAAATTTATGATTTGAGTCGCTGTTGAAATAGAGATGTTTCACATGCTGGAACTCCTCAACCTGCTCTCTGGATCCAGGAATTTCTGCATGAAGAGCTTCTTCTTCCTTTCTACACTTTGATGCGAACAACTGACAAAATGACTAGACCTCACAACCCAGCCAGCGCAGAGCTGACCAGCTACAGCTGAGCTGACCAGCTCTATTGGAGCTGACCAGCCAGCACAGAGCTGACCAGGCAGGATGGAGCTGACCAGCGACCTCTTTATTAAAAACTGACCTCTTTTAGCTCTTTGATGTTGCTGCTGTCCACTAGAGGGCAGCACCCTTCATTCTCAGACTGCCTCACTGCTCTCTGCTAGTGAAGTGATGCCAGTGTGGAGGCATGCTAGAGCAGAGGCATGAATCAGTCGAGAGTTGTTTGCGTGATTATTGACACTGCTTAATGGCGAAAATGATGCACAAGGAACTTTATGTGGTTCTGTTTCTGGATATAGATATAAACAATCTGTAAGTTATCAGCTAAATTGTGTTTATTTCGGTATGCTGATAAACCACAGCTGCGTCGCTTCTTTGCTATCCTTATAAGGTGAGGATGTGATGATAGAAAACCGTAGGGCGCTACTTAAAACCTTTTCAACATGATTCAATGCAGTTTATTTATATAAAAGCAATTCAAAACATATCATTCCAGACACACACACACCAGATCATTCAGTCAGATTGATTCAAAGTTTTCTAAGGAAAACCATCTGATTGCATCGACTCATGACCTCATTGGCTGTCCAGCAGTCCTTAACACCAAGCATGATGCACGATAGAAAAAGACATGCTGACAATCAATAGCTGGTTGATCTGCTTGGTGGAAGATTCTGCCCATTAGGCTGAATTTAACTGTAACTCCCCAGACATAACAGACTTAACAAAACATTTAAACAAAAAAGAAGTTATTCAGAAGACCTGCACAACTTTTCAGACAAGTCAGCTTGTCATGTGGGACCCCATCAGTCTTAATTTTCTCCATACCTAATAAAGGTGTAACAAATAAATAATTACTTTAGCCTACATGTACCTTTTGGACAGGTCAAATATAACACAGCCTTGGGAGTGCTTCTGTGATGCCGTGGTTAGCGCGCACCACCCATGTACAGAGGCCTTAGTCCTTGACACGGCCAACCCAGGTTCCAAGCTGACCTGTGGTCCTTGGCCACATGTGTCTCCCCCTCTCCATACCCCTTTCCTGTCAGCCTACTGTTGAAAAAACAAGCCACAAGTGACATGAAAACGCACCAAAAAAAAGAAGAAAATATAAAACAGCCTTAATAACTGGACATTTGCTCAGTGGTCCAAAAACATATCTTGAGATGAAGTTGAAGTTTGAATTTTGTAAATTTTGTTCCCAGAATGTGTAGAATCCAAGTTTCTTAGAATGATTTGGGGAAGCCTGATATTAGTTGGTATTAGTCTACTGTGTTTTCTGAGGTTTAGACTCAAAGCAGCAATCTAACTGGAATGTTTAGAGATAAAACATGCTTTACTTTTGCTGAGGAGACCTTTGAATTTGCAGCAATGTACAATGTGACCTCATTGTAACATTAAAAACATTTTCTTTGAATTTATGAACGAAGGAGTAGTCAATAAATTGTATATGTAC